TTGCGGCTCCAGTTTCTCCTAGACCTTTCTCCCCTCACATGCCCCATAGTCACCTAGCGTCAGTAAATAACATCAAACACATCTACCTACTCTTTTAGCTAAGTTGCCATTTCCCAGAACATTAAAGTAAGTCTTGCCTATCCTTCAGCCTTAACTTACAATTGGGTGTTGACTTTACACTTCCGGGGCTCACTGAGATTTCATGCCTACAGGTGTGCTCACTGCTTCCCTCCTTAGGTTCTATTAAACAAGCCCTTCCAACCAGTCTCTTTCCCCAGTCCCCTGCTTTCTGACCTATCAGTACCATCAAACAGTTAACTTTTGAATGCACAAATCTCTTTGTGTGCCTCTCAAGTTTCAAGCCAATAATCTCTAAAATGAAGTCCTATTTACCCTCACACCACAGTATATACACCAATAGTATAAGCAATGAATGCTGTGTTCAGTCAAATCACTCCACTCCTCCACCTCCAACCAAGCATTCTTTAGCTACTTTGCTATGTGTTCTTGTCTTATTGTTTTATGTGTCTAAAACCTCTTCTGTCCTCTTACAAAAAAAAAAAAAAAGAAAAACAGCAAAACAGACAAACAAACAAAATGCTTGCTACTGAAGTAGCATTTGCTACTGAAGGAAGAAGTTTGGATCAGGCAACTTCTCTACCTTTCACTTTCCTACTCTGCATACTGGAGAAATGTATTACTCCCTTGCTTGTTCAACCATACACGTCCCTGCACACTATAAGAGCACAGTTTACTGCATTTCTCTACATGCACGTCACACACTTGCAGGCATTTTATTTGTTACTTATGTACAGATGTGAGCATCATAAAAGAGCCGCTGGATAGTGACTGTCTTGTGGTCCAGATGTGTTGGTGTACTTGGCAGAGAGAGGCACTCAGCAGGTTTTCTGATTTTAATGATCTGTGCTTTGGTCTCCTATAGAGAGAACATGCAACTTCAGGATAAACGTGTATCATGTAGACTTAAAATGAGAGGTGATGGGTTTTAATTTGATGCTGTATTATGAGAATGTATTTCAAAACATTTCGCTTTATTTATTCAGCTTCTCTGCCTTAACCCCCAGCGCCCACAGAATATATTCTGCCTATTCATGCTGGAGTCATAGTCACTCAGGGTTATTTCTTTCTCAAGCATGTTTGCTAAGAGTCCTATCACATAAACCTGATTCTGTAAATGATCTAGTCTTAAATACAAAACCTGTATGATAGTTAAAAATAAGCTTCTGTGCTTTCAAAGTGTGCTTGATAGTTTTTAAGATACCCCATGACTGGTTAGCTTTCAATTTAAAGAAAATAAAAAAGACAGATAGGAAGAAGCAAGGAGATAGGAGGAAGGTAAGAGAAGGTAGATGTAGGGTCACTGGGCTATCCAAGCAAGTAGAGTTTGGCACACAAAAACGAAATGTACTAAAAGCATTCCAGAGTCTGCCTGCGAGCAGATGCTAAGAGATGTAAAGGGGGGCATGCTTGCCTCTGGCAGATTTATTTTTCTAATGGAGAACTGTGGGCAAAATGATGACAAGAGGCTTTGGATTCACAATGATACATGGATACATGATGACCCCACTTTTAAATGGCCAGTCCTTGGTTTTCCATCTCTCCTGCCTGTTCGCTCTAACCAATATATAAAATTCATGAATTTGAATCACTGTACCAAACAATGGTGAAGGTAAAGCCTATTTATATATCTCAAGATTACATTTTGGATGGACAATTAGCAATCATTTTTTTAAATACATAGTTTTATTTGAAACAATTTTAAAATTTAAATATAGTTTATCGTATTCTTTAATTTTCCCAAATCCTTTCAATTGTCTACCCCTCCATACTAACCCAACTTTAAGTTATTTCTCAACAAACATACCAAAAAATCAATGCAACAACCTCCCCAAAACAAACAAATAAAAATGGAGTAACAACAAACAAAAAAATAACACACCACCCCCAAAGAAGAGAAAAACAAGACAAAATATCAAACTGTAACCAAATAAAAGTGCGCATAAAGCTGTGGAGTCCACGATGTGCTGGTCAGATACTCCTAAACATGAGGACTGCCCAGGAGTGGTTGTTAACCCATGACGTCACTCCATCAGAGAAAACTTGGTTGCCTTCTTCTAGCAGACATAGATGACAGTTCAGGTGTTAACCTTTACCTTAGGGCCTAGGTTCTCAGTTATCCATTTTTTTTAATATAACAAAGTAAAATACAATAAGATGGAACAAAAACTGTCACATCAAAGTTGGCCAGGACAAACCAAGCGAAGAAAAGAGCCCAAGAGAAGGCACATGAATCAGAGACCCACTCATTGACAAACTGCGAATTCTCGTAAGAACACTACACTGGAAGCCATAATATTTTTTAGAGAGCCTTGTTTGTTTTCTTGGTGTCCTCCACCCCTATGGGTCTTACACTCCTTTCTTCTCTTCTTTGTCTTTGGGATCCCTGAGCTCTGAAGGGAGAGATTTGATGAAGACATCCCACTTAGGGCTGAGTGTTCCAAACTCTCTCACTCTCTGTAGAATATCTGGTTGTGGGTCTCTGTATTTGTTTCCATTGGCTGCCTGAGGAGGTTTCTCTGATGATGCTAAATGAGACACTGATTTATGAGAATAGAAATCGTGTATTTTAATAGCTCTGTCAAGACCGCACCTATGGATATGCACTAAAGATTTTTGAGAGCTTTGTGTTTTGTAAGACAAGAGCCCTTGTATATATTTGGAAAATAAGATGTGTGTGACTACGGACCTTGTGAGGATGATGACTGTGTGAGATACTGAACGAGGACAGAGAGAAGACAGGCTGTTTAAAAGTTTAGAAACACTGCTCAGATAGCATAATGTACACATGCGATATGCTCATGCCATGGTGGTTATTGATTTACTGTCATTTGGCCCATAATTTTTCAATATTTTTAATTTAAATAATGGGCAAGTGACAACATCAGTGGAGAGAAAACACTTAGCATTGAATCCAGATCATTACCCGAAATCGCAATGCTCAGTATGCGACTAGCAGCATTGCTGTAAACCTGTCCTCACAGGCTGAGCAACAGCCAGTATCTAGACACAGTATCATGATGCAGTTATTCAATATCTTATGTAAGATACTCAACACACTCTAAAAGATACTGTGAGAAAAAAATGCGTATGTTAGCTGGGCGGTGGTGGCGCAAGCCTTTAATCTCAGAATTCAGGAGGCAGAGGCAGGTGGATCTCTGTGAGTTTCAGACTAGCCTGGTATACAGAGTGAGTTCCAGGACAGCCTCCAAAGCTACACAGAGAAACCCTGCCTCTAGTCCCCCTCCCCACAAAAAAAACCTGTCTATGTAACTTGTAAAGAAGCATACATGCTCTGTTCATGTTTAATGAAGGCTAGTTACAGTGTTCAGTATGATATATGAGGTAAATTCATTTCTTACTTGTGATATTTGCAATGTACAGCTGGTCAATCAGTACATAATTACATCCTAAGTAAAAAAAGAAATCATTACCAGTACCTGTATAATTCTGTCTGTAGTATATGTATGTACCTGTGGATATGTGTATATTTCTATGTAGATGTGCTAATAAGGCTCATATTGCTGTGTCTTAATAAACTATAAATCTTTTTGAAAAGTGAAAGATTATGAACTTTGATTTCCATCTAAGTGCTTTTCTAAAATTTGTATATCAAGGAAATAAATCTTTATTTTCTTCCCTGACCTTTACAGAAATAAAAAACAAGAGCGAAATCTTACCAATTTTTTTCTGAATAATTCACTCTTGCCTTGCAAACCTCAACTTTTTTCATGAATTCAATGCTGAACACCAAAAGAGAAAACACAGAGGTCTCTGATGGGAAACCCCAACTTTGACATTTACTTGTATGACCCCAGAGAAGCTATTTAACCTTTCTGTATTACATTGCTTCAGATATTAAAGAAAACAAAGCAATTCAATAAATATCCCCTAGAATGTGACTGTAATGATTGGGCTAAAACTTAGGCCACAGGGAGATAATCAATAATGATTAGCTTCCTCTCTCTGTCTCTGATGATAACCTTTCCTTTTTATGTAACTTAATTTCCTTCAAGAACATCAATTCATTAAGAGAAAGTTCCATGTTCGGATATAGAAGGATGAGATTCTGCTAATGCAGAAATAAGCTGGTACAGTTTTTAAAAAGAGTTCTTAGCAATATGGCTTCCTAAAATGTTCATCATACTTTAACTTAAATTTATAGGCTTGGTCCATGTCCTTCTCAAAGTCACTGATAACTGAATCCAATATAGACATCAAATATTATCTTATTACTGTGCCTGCTCTAGAAAAATGATCAATGTTATTAAAAGATGAGCAAAAACCAGCAGACATTATTCCTACCATGGCAATTTAAAAGCATCTTGAAACTCAAGGCTACAGAAAAATTTATTCAAGTTCCTCTAATGCAAAATATATATATAATATTCTATATCGAAAATTGCACATGAGAATTTTTTAAATCTCAGCATCATAATTTATGTGTTGTAAACAAAAATATGTAGAAAATAAAAATTTATAACAATAAAATAATTGAAATAATATATAATTTTACATTTATTTATCTTAAAATCTTACAGAGTTCAATTTAAAGTTCCTTCTACATTCTTTATAAGGTCTAAAAAATGTTATACATGCCCATAAATTTCCTATCCAGATAGTATCCAAAAGCTATATATTTTTTAATCTCTGGAGTAAAAAAATACGTTTTAACATTTTAAAAAGAAATCTGGAAAGTGATTGTAATGACTGGGCTAAAGCTTAGATCAGAGCTAGATAATCAATAATGATTAGCTTCCTCTCTCTGCCCCTAATGATAACCTTTTCTTTTTTGTAACTACATTTACAGTACAAGCAATTTATACTAACTGTGAGCAAGCGTGTCCTATGCTAAATTCATCTGAGAGATAGTGGTGGCATCTTCTGTGTGTAATGGTGCAAGTGACAGGCAGAGTACTCACGGCTGACATGATGAGCTCGCCCCCCAGGTTCTGGATCTCAGCTTTAACTTGACTGCAGATTTTCAGCTGGTGGGAGTAGAATTTAATCTGTTCCAGATAAGCCAGCAAGTCCTGTTTGCACGGTGGATCTGGGCACTGCAAGTATAACAGAGATAAAAATAGGTATAGCAAAATAAAGAGGTACATCCCAGTGGGGAATACACACACCATGGATACCATATAGGGCAGCGGTTTTCCACCAGCCCCATTTCTTATGCCTAGGTACAGTCTCATATACATCATTGGAAAACTCCTGCTGAAACAACTTCTTTGTTCTTTGGCTGTAGTCACTGGGATTAGACCAAGTACTTGCTATAGGAAGGTGCCAATATAAAGAATACATAAAGAGCTGCCTTCAACTCATGACAAGTTTAGCAGCCTTCAGATTATGTCTTTGGGTAGACATGAAGAACTAGTAATATGCAATTATCTCATCACTACGAGAGTATCTAAAGGAATCACTACAAGAATATACCATGAAATGCAGAGTGTTTGCTGTCTTCCCTGTGATATTTGTGTGAGAATACCAAATCCACAAGAAAGCATCTTAAGCTGTATTATTTTTCAGCTTTAAATGTTCTTACTGGGGCAGAAAAAGGAAATTATTTCTACCTGAGATGGTATCTGCAGATTCTATGCGGGTAAGAAGCAGAAAACTCACATGTTTTTAAGGGTGTAGCAAAACTCTTTTTCAAAACCAGTTCCCCTTGGTGATTAATTTTCCAAAAGGAACTCCTATGAAAATAGTTCTAAGTGTCACTATACCATGGCAAAAGTCTCTGGATAAAGGTGAATTTTCGTGCTGTCTTCCCCACGGAGTTATAGGCTTAAGAAGTTTGTTCCTCACCTTAATTCTATTCTTAGTAACTTTTCATAAGAACTTAGATATGCAAACAGAAACTCATGACCAAAGAAATTTATTTCTATAGTACTTGAAATATCAAAAATCAGAAATAATGCAAAATAGTAGAAAGAGGAGATATGAATGTCTGTCTAAATACTGTGACACTGTACCATTTCATTGGATTTTCAGAAGCTGGAGAGAAGGCTCAGAGGTTAAGAGTGCCTGCTGCTCTTGCAGAGAATTTAGACAAGTTCAGGTCCTTCAACCTATGCCAGGTAGCTCACCACCACCGTTACCTATAGTTTTAAGGGATGTGAAACTCCCTTCCTGCTTCCCCAGGTACCTACAGATTATGTATGGCATTCAGTTACTCAAACAATATGCCCAAATAAAATAATACGCAATAAAATATTTAAAATGTTTTCAAATTATATGGGAGAATAATGTTCAGTGCTGAAAAGTTAAAACTTTTGGAATTAAAACTGCATGCATCACTTCAGCTAAATTGGATCAAATGTGCAATTTTTAACCATACTGAAAAGGAATTATATGAAAATGATAATGGATATGATACAGTCAGGTGTCTCTATTTTCTTCATATATTACATTTGTCTTGAAATAAATATACATTATTCCCATAATGATACAATTCTATTCAAAATATTTAAATTGAATCATACAAATTAAAAGGTAGGATGAATGGCCAACAGTGAGATGTTTCAGTAGTAAGAATGCTTGCCACCAAATCTGATGACCAGATTTCAATTTCTAGAACTCACAAGGTAGAAGAAGAGATCAGATGCTTGTGATTTATCCTCTTCCTCCACATGTATATTGTGTCATGTGAGTCATGCCAAACTCCCGTAAATAGATAAATGCAAAAGTGTAATATGATAGACCAGAAACATCTCTCTGGAACATTTGAATTCATCTATTGCAATCATCTACCACAATCTCCTGATGAGAGGTTCTAGGACATATATAGATACCAAAATCCAAAATCGCTTAGTTCATCTTAAATAAAACAGAAAGAATTTGTGCATAACTTAAACACATTCTTCTGGTAAACTTTAAATATATCTATATTGCATATAAACAATTAATAAAGTTTAAATAGTATATAAATTGTTGGAACATTGTATTGCTTGGGAAATTTAATGTCAGGCAAGAAAGACAGTGTATGAACAATACACATATGCCATCAAAGGTTCACCTATAACAACCTGAATGGGAGGTGACTGAATTGGTGGGTACAGAACTCATATGCATAGATGGATAACTAATTTGTAACTAGGATGGGATATGGTTAGGAAATTCCAGAAAAGTTTATTCTACTTCATGCTGTTAAATACTTGGTCCACATATCTGCAAGTTAGATGCACAAGTTGAGGTCATGAAAACTTGCACTCAAAGTTCATACTAATTAATAAAGGAATCAAATATATTCCTCTACATAAATATTTTCCACCCATAAGACAGAAATAGATACATATAAAGCTTGGTGGAACAGGATCACCAGCCTCAAAGACATTAGACCTGATGGTAAAAGGAGTTGAGATAAATGTGTTTTGTTTTGTATTGTTTGGTATTTGTGTGTGTGTGTGTGTGTGTGTGTGTGTGTGTGTGTGTATGTGTGTGTGTGTGTGTGTGTTGGATAAGGAGTTAACAGTAGCCTACACACTTATTAATGAAGATTAAATTAGAGTTCAATAAAAGGAAGCAAGAAAGAGCAAAAAGCAGAAGAGAAAGAGAAGAAAAAAGAAAAACAGAAGCAGGAATGATGGTAGCCAGTTCCCACATGGTTTTCCTGCCTGCAGGATGCTACTCTAAATAATTAGGCATGAAATCACTCTCGGTAATCAAACTCTGAGACAAAGGTGACTTCCTCTGATGAAAAAGGGTGTATTCCCCAACTGTATCATCATGACAGGAAGACTTCCTCCATGTGAGGCACCACATCTGGTCTCTCAAAAGCATGATGTTTCATATCAGAGCATGTCACTAAGATCTAAATAAGGCCATTGGGCAGATCTCCAGACTAAACTCTAGAAATAGTCAGTTCGAGGGCTTCGTTTTCTCTGATTTATTCATATGGATGAACAATCATCTCTTCTACACAGCACTCCTTCAAAACACTTTTGATTTTGCTTATTGAAGAACTTTTTCTCTATTCTTTTCTCTTATGGTCAGAAATAATGGCAGTCCTGGCATAGACGGTGTTTTATCTATCATGTAAGTATACCTCCCATATAACTCTTCCATTAAACAGGGGTTGTATAGACACCTGTATAAATTCATGGATCTACTACAACGTCAATCAACAAATGCATAAACAGAGCCAAAAGGGGGCAGTTTCCTTGCCAATTAATAAGTGACAACAGAGACGGAGTTTATACAATATGGAGACTTCAACCTTACCTCTTTTGCCAGAAACAATGTCACTCTTCTTGCAGACATCATTGTATGTAGAACTAAACTGCCACTTGATTTATAAAAGGGCTTCTTAAGTTAGCCTTTTATTTTAAATTATACATTTAATTACTGTGGATCTGTTCTTTCACGGTTATAAAACTCCTGATGAAATTTACATTGTAACTACTGATTTGAATCTCTTTTTATTGAGAATAGGCTTTTATGCAATCTATTTTAATTATGGTTCTCTTCCTCCAACTTCTCCCAGGTCCTCCTCATAGCCCTACCCACCAAATCTATACCCTTTCTTTCTCTTATTAAGATACAAACAGGCCTCTTAAAACATCTCCCAGATCCTTTCCATATCCCCACCACCCAAATATCCGCCTTTCTTTCTCCCCTTCTCAACAGGATACAAACAGGGATCTAAAAATAATGAAACAAAATAACAGAAACAAACAAAAATAGGACAAAAGAAACAGCAATGACAAAGAAAGAGCTAAAGAAAAAGCAGAAGAAACACATACTGAGATACACACACGTACATTTGCCATCACATAAAAAAAATGAAGCCATAATATATAAGAAAATTATGTAGGGTTAAAAAAAAAGTCCTCTCCCTGAGAATGAGAGACAGAAGAAATCTCCTGGGTGAACGGTGGGCAGGTACAGATGGGAACATGAGTAATCAGGCTGGGGGGTCACAGAGAGGTAGAATACTGAAAGAGACTGCTGGAAAGAGGGGGTATTTTGGGATCATATAAAAACCTGGAAATCTCCCAGAAAGCTGTAAGTATGACGCCAGCTAAGACTCCTAATAATAGTGGATACATAGCCGGAATCGGCCATCTCCTGTGACCAGGCAAGATTTCAAGCGGAGGAAGTGGGAAAACAACCCAGCTACAAATCCTTCAACCTACAGTCTGTACTGCCTATAAAATGTGCTGGGGTAAGGATGACCTAGAGGCTGAGGAAGTGGCGAATGGCTAGTCTAGCCTAAAAAACATGCCAGGAGAATAAGCCTACCACAAAAACAGCCAGGAGAGCCAGATCCTACAGGCTGGATGACAGAGACCTAGGATATTATCAAACACAAATGAAGAACAAAAAAGTCAATGTAATGATATCCAATGATATTTATACACATAGATTGGTGCCCATCCCAAATCTCAGCAGAGAGGATTCATCCACCAACTGATGGGAACAGATGCAGATCCACATTAGGCAGAGCTCAGGGAATTCTGCCAAAGAGGGGGACACAGAACTGTAGGAGACAGAAGGGTCTAGGGCACCACAAGAAAACTTACAGAAACAACTAACAGGGGCTCACAGGAACTCGCAGAGACTGAATGGACAACCAGAGAGCCTACATGGGACTGACCCAGGTACATACTCTACTTATATGTTACAGTTGTGTAGCTTGGTCCTCTGGTGAGACTCCTAACAGTGGGAACAGGGGCTGCCTCTGGCTCTATTGCTGGCTTTTGGGACCCTATTCCTCATTGTGGGTTGTAGATGAAAGTTTCTGTCCTGCCCAGTTCTGGAGCTCTTCAGTCCCAAAGAAACACACAGAGCTTTATATTATTTATAAACTGTTTGACCTATTAGCTGAGGCTTATTGTTAACTAGTTCTTGTCACTTAAATTAACCCATAATTCTGTCTATGTTTAGCCATGTTCCTTGGCATCTTTTCCTCAGTGAGGCATTCTCATCTTGCTTCTTTTGGGTCTGACTTGTGATTGACTCTCTGTCTTTCTCTTCCCAGAATTCTCTTACTCTGGTTGCCCCACCTATATTTGCTGCCTAACTACTGGCCAAAAAGCATTTTATTAAGCTAATA